AGCTAGTTTTCACTAGCTGCTGTACTATTATAGATTATAGAGAAAACTTCTAAAAAAGGTAGCTTTTGGTCTATCTTTTTTTTTGTACAAAGGGTAATGTGGTTTCAGATGTACAGCAGGATGATTCCATATTTGTTTGTATTGCAAAATGATCACCACGATAAATCTAGTTAACATTTTTTCACCATACATAGTTACCTTTTGCTTGTGAAGAGAACTTTTAAGATCTACTCTCTTAGCAACTTTCAAGTACAGTATTGTTAACTATACGATGCTGTACATTACATCCCTATGACTTATTTATTTTATAACGGGGAGTTGGTCCCTTTTAGTCACCTTCACCCATTTTTTCTACCCCCTATCCCCTACTCCTGACAACCACCAAACTGTTCACTATATATGAGCTTGGTTGTGGGGTTTTTGTTTTACTTTTTTGTATTTTTGTTTTTAGATTCCACATATAAGTGAAATTGTATGGTGTTTGTCTTTCTCTGTCAGATTTATTTCACTTATTTTGGTCTATCTTTTGAATGCCAGTGATAATTTGAGTAAATGTGGTACAATGTATTCATATAGGATCCTGTGTTAAAATACCTTACGTGGTTTATAACAAGATAACCATCAATAAAGTCAGCTGGAATGTTAGATTTTGAATTTGAATCCTTTGAATTCAGAGATCATTGAAGAATGTGTGTTTTGCACATAATAGATTTTCTTTGTAACCCAAAAATGTAAAATACTTTCAGGCTATAAATTATTAATTCAGTATAGACCATGATGCAGTAAAAATGTTATCTTTTTATTGTAGGAAGTCCTCACTTTGCACAGTAGTGGGAACTATGAAAACAACCATGCACACTGAAACTATGCAAAATAGTCTTAAGAATCAATGGAGGAAATTATGATTGTTCTGACAAAAGATTAAAACTTTTCAAACATTAAATACTGTTGCTGTTGGTTATAAATGTATAGAGAAATGGAAAAATAATAAATCAACATGGATTTAATACACAGTCATTGTAAACATTAGGAACATCAAGAATTAAAGTGGGTTTTTTTAAAAAAAAGCTTATCAAAATTAGTTTGAACAGTGCTTGCCTTCTTTTCATTGTGTAAGTTGTAATTCAGAGTGAACATCTTTTCTATGAGTCAGTGAATTCTCATCCTCCTTTTAAGCTTGGATCAGCTTCCAAACTTTTATCCTTTGTGCTTTCAATACTATGAAATATCTCTGAGAGTTCCTTTAATGTAAAGTTTGTTGCCAGGGTCACTTCCTCTGAGACATCTTCATCCGTTTCATTACAACCACTTTCCTCATTGATGTCAACAAGTTTTCCTTCACTAAGTTCCTCTGACAGCAGATCTACAGGCTCTCCTATAGTGGCAGGCAGCATTCCCACAGTCAGCTGTTTCTTCTATAATTCCATGTATGTTCAGTTCAAATCCTGCCAAGTTATTTGCACAGTGTGCTAAAAGTTTCTGCTACAATGCATGAGTATTACTTGCTGTTATTTCCTGCCATGATGTTTGAATATTTTCAGTTGAATGCTTTATGTCATATTTCTTCCAAAACTCAGCTAAAGAAACTGTATGATCTCCAGTTGTAGCATCAATAGCCTCTTCAAAAGTCTGTGTAAGATAACAGGCCTTCAAAGTTGAAATAACTCCTTGGTCCACTGGTTGGATTAATGAAGTTGTTCTTGGTGATAAAAAGCAAATTTTCACATTTTCATCTAAATCTCTAAGAGAAATAAGATGACGAAGAGCATTATCCAACAGGAATAGCATTTTAAATGTTAAATTATGGTGCCTATAGTATCTCTATAGCCGATTGACAAGGCAACATAACTACAAGACTTACTGTCCGTGTGTAAACTGAATAGTGGATGTGCAGAGGCTGACCACTGACAGACTCAAAAAAGTAATATGACTAGTCACTGATCATGATGTACATCTGTTATTTACACAGCGATTTGTGGACTGAAGAGTTAGCAGCAAAGTTTGTACTTTATGCAGTTACTCACAGTTAATATACTGAGGTAATTGAAATTTGAGCCATGTTGTTGGGGGACTAATGTTATTTAAGGAAACCATGATAACTGAAATCTGTGCAAAGTAAGGAGTGCCTTACTATGATTCAAGACTAACTTCAAAAATGTTTTCATAAAAGAAAGAAAAATAAGAAACCTTAATTATATGATTTAATTGTTTAATTCTTTGACTTCTACCTCTGAGCATACATCTGAAGTTTTACTTTTGTAACATCTTTGTTGGAGTATAATTGCTTTACAATGGTGTGTTAGTTTCTGCTTTATAACAAAGTGAATCAGTTATACATATACATATGTCCCCATATCTCTTCCCTCTTGTGTCTCCCTCCCACCCTCCCAATCCCACCCCTCTAGATGGTCACAAAGCACCGAGCTGATCTCCCTGTGCTATGCAGCTACTTTCCACTAGCTATCAGTTTTACATTTGGTAGTGTATATATGTACATGCCACTGTCTCACTAGTTTTTATTTTTTAAAATCACTCGTACTTTCATGACCACTTGCTGAGTACATGACCACAAACCATAGACAGAAACCTCTTTCATTCAATTCTACCAAATTTTCTTAGTGTATTATATGTGTATGACACTGTGCTAGACTTTTTTTAAGAAACAAATAATCTGTTACTGGGTTTTCCACATACATTGATTTCTGCCCTCACCAATGCATACATACAGAGTCACACAGCCATGTATGTCTGGTACCCATTGACATGACCACCCCTGCATGTGTGGGCCTCAAAGGATTTAGAAATTAATTTCTCAGGGTTCACTAATAAAAAGAGAAAATATTTCCTGAGTGTGTATTTTATGGCAGGTATTGTGCTAAGTTCTTTATTTAACAGTATTTCATGAAATACTCAGAGAAACTGCATGAGGCAGGAATTACTAGTATCCTCACTGCAAATACAAAGAAACTAAGGCCTGTGGAAAAGTAATATGACTTGTCTATGCAAAAGGAAAAGCATTTGCTTAAGAGCTATTATTCACAGCTGAGTACTGTGTCTCACCACTTCTGGGTTTTAACCAGTTGAAGCTGTTAAGGACCATAAATCATGAGTTACCCTGATCAGGGTCAGACTGAACTTGACTGAATTAGATTCTTCCCTGACCCATGAATGACGGGACTTGATTTACCTACTTGTACACAGACTTGTGAACTTATTTCAACCCCTCCATAATGCAATTTTTTCATCTTTAATGAGCATGATCATCATGACCTCCTGTCACCACCCCCTTTTGGCACTGACTTTTCCCCCGCAGTGCACTGCTAAGTGAATTTCTTCTGAGTGTAAACAGGGAATGTTCCCTTTCCTGGCAGTAAATAAAATCAGCTTTGATTTTTGAACTCTGATCCTTGTTTTATTTTTTTTATTTTTTATTTCATTTTATTTTTTTTTTTATTTTTTGCGGTACGCGGGCCTCTCCCGTTGCAGAGCACAGGCCCCGGATGCGCAGGCTCAGCGGCCATGGCTCACGGGCCCAGCCGCTCCGCGGCATGTGGGATCTTCCCGGACCGGGGCACGAGCCCATGTCCCCTGCATCGGCAGGCGGACTCTCAACCACTGCGCCACCAGGGAAGCCCCTTGTTTTGTTTTTTGATACCCAAGATAATATGTCTAATAAGTGACAAGACTGGGACACAAATCCATTCTGACTAACTTAAAACCCAAATGCTTAATTTCTGTGTTCCCTTGTTAACTAAATTATGGGAATAAATTGCATTCAAGCCAGCTAGTTCCAAGATATAAAAAAGGGAAGTTGATTCTACAATATTACTCCAGCTAATTCTAATTCATTCTTCCCTTTACAATGGTGAGATCATCATCCTTGAGGGTTCCTTCCTATTACAGTAAAACAATGATATGAATGGTAATAGCAGTGTAATAATATTAACATCAATGACAGCTTAAATATAGCTAGCGCTTACTCTGTGCCAGGCATACTTTCTTTCCCAGCTATCTCAAACCAATGAAATGTCTTGTTCCCTTGTGATAGCTTGAAAATGCACGCATACAATTCCTTTCTGTAGATTTGGGGTAAAGCAGGCTAAGTTTGGAGTCGTGGAGATTGTGGCAAACTGGAGAGCTGTGGTCATTTGAAGACAGCAGTCATTACTCTGTTTCAATTATTGTCATGCAAAAATAAAGGCCCAGTATTTGCAGATCTTCTTTTTCAAAAGGGACCAAAAGTCTGGGTCATTATGTAGAGTTTACCACTTTTTAAAATACTATGTAAACCAACCAAAACACATCTGCAGGCTCAAATGAGCCCTGTTCGTAGCCTCTGCTACTGATGCACAGGCTGAGAGGCAAGAAAGTAGAGTGGAGCCATATTGTCTGCATTTAGGTACTAGTTTTCCTACTTTGTGTGGCCTTGGTCAAGTTACTTAGCCTCTTTTTGCCTCAATTTCCTTGTGTGTAAAATGGGTTTAAAATAATAGATATCTGCTAGAGTTATTTTAAAGAAAAGAGTAGTTATTTTTATCTCTAAAATGCTTAGTTAAAATACCTAGCATTTAATCAGTGTTTTTGTTGTTAATATTTTGCCCCCCTTATCGTCCCTTTCTTGGACCTGCCCTCTATACCCTTCTACCTGCCCATGCCAGTTATATGCACTCATTCCAAGGATATATATACATTATGAGCCTCTGACTATATGTGACACCTAAGTTGTATAAAAACAAACAAACAAAACCTTTTGTCATTCTCAATGGCTCATTTAAATGACAGGTGAATTAAGAAAGGAGAAAAATGAACTACATTTATTTCAGCAAATTGAACACTTATTAAATGGTATTGAACCATTTGGTTGAACTGATAAATTAACATATAATATTACATAGTCGCTAGCTAAATAATTTGGTTGGTGAATTTGAATACATGGCTTTTCCAAAACTTTTGTGCCACAGGACCTTTTAAAATGTCTAACTAATGTATTTAATTTTCAGTTTATCTTTATTAGAAGAATTTGACTGTAGCTGTAATGAACTGGAGTCACTACCTTCTACTATTGGCTACCTTCACAGTCTTCGAACATTAGCAGTCGATGAGAATTTCCTTCCAGAATTACCCAGAGAAGTGAGGAATAAACTTGTTTCTATTAATTTCTTTTAATGAATCTGTTTGGGGATTAAATCTTAACAGTTTCAGTAGCAGTGTAGCTTACGAGTTGAGCTGTGAATATATACAGGAATTATTTATTTGTTAATAATTCTTTTTTAAATGGCAAGTTATAAGTTCTTATATTTGACCCAGGAAATACATTTGATTTAAACACTGCTTGCCAAAAATAGTAATATCATATTATAAATTAGTTCATGCTAAGGAATACAATTTTAATTAATCCAACTTATATATTTTGCTTTTAAAAACAATAAATTAATTTTGAGATAACTATACTTCCAGTTCTAAGTGAAAGTTTTTAATATAAATAAGTTTTTTAAAGTATCATGTTGCATAATTGTTTTAACTTCAGGATCCACCAAAATGGTCCATTAGCATTCATCTCTAAATGGGACTTTCATGTATTCATGTCAAGAAAAAACTGTGAAGTATATTTTCAATTTAACATTTTCTATTAAATGCTTTCATAATACAGGAACAATAATTCATATATCATTATTTAGAGACAAAAGTTATGAGTAAAAATAAAAATACCATTGTAACATTAAATAAAACTAACTTTTCAAAGGAAATATCAACAATATTTCATTTTTGAGTATATATGATCTATTATAAACATAGATTATTAGTACTTATTCGGATAGACAAAAACAATGTGATTTATGAAAACAATGAAACTAACAAGTATTCTAGTCATAAAATTAAAAAGAAAATTTTTCCTTCATAATATGTAAAAAAATATGATACACAGTCTTAATATCTAAAGGAATATATGTATTATAGACATATTGTAGAGAGTGAGATTATAAAAAATAAAATAATACATATATTGATAGTCTTAAAAGTGATAAATTTATAAATTAATTAAATTACTTTATGAATTATAAATGTTAGTATAAAAATAGTTTACACTGTGATTCTTTACTTTTTTTTTTCTTTTGTTACCCATAGATTGGAAGCTGTAAGAATGTAACAGTTATGTCTCTACGTTCCAATAAACTGGAATTTCTTCCTGAAGAGATTGGACAGATGCAGAAACTAAGAGTCTTAAATTTGAGTGACAACAGGTATTTCTGCAATATTTCACAATCACATATTAGTTATTTTCTAAAAGCAAATTATTGTTTCTTATCAATAATTTTGAAAAATTTTTCTGTGTCTTATAAAGTATATGCAATGCAAATATTTATATAAGTATGCAAATATCCATTTAGAAAATAGCAGAAGCTAAATTGTTTTTAAACTGATATTTCAAACTTTTATTGTTTGATTATATAGAAACATATATTGTATATTAAAATTATGTAAAATTTATACACCCAAATTTATGTACCAAAACCCTCCCATATGCAGAAAGCATAATATTATGAAAACATGGAAAAATAATTGTAGTGAAAGTCTACAAAATTTATTAATAAAAATATGTACACAGTTATGTATGTATGCATACATATATGTTTTCATGTATATATTTATGTCTCCAGTAAATTAACTGAGCTATGTATGTACTGTCCACACCACCAGAACACTGGTGAGAATATTGCCAAGAAGCTAGTACTCAAAAGTCATGAGGTTTGCACATTATAGTAAAGACAACCAAATGGTTATTTAATCATGTTCTGAAAAGGATGAACAAAGAAAGGATAGGTCCTCTTCTTGTGACAAAGTTGTTATATTGGTGAATGGGTGAAAATGCTGTTCATCTTTATTTCTACCACGGTCATCCTCAAATAGGAAAGGATAAAAATCAATACTGACTAAAAATAACTTCTAAGAAGATAAAGTGATTGTGGATTAGAATAGACTACTTGAACTCTTTGTTTTCATTAAGTTTCAGTCAGATAAATGATAATATGAGACTGCAACAAAACTAACAAAGATTAGCTTTTATGGAATCACAGAGAATGTTCAGATTCTAAGGTTTCACTAAGTGTGGGAGTTGTCATTTGTTTGTTAGTTTGTCTAAGAAAAAACTACTAATGTGAATTTCAAAAACCATTCACTTAGTAGCTTAAAATATTCCATGTAAGAAATAAAATCTTTTTTTAAAGGCTTTGGAATTTTTTTTTTTTTTTTTAAATCAAGGTGACACGGAAGCTTCATAGCTTGGTGCATCAAGAGTAATTCATGTCAAATCAACCCCATTTCTTGTTTTGACTCTTAACAGACAAGATAATGAAGGAAATGCATTAAATGTTGTGCCCAACTTTCAGTAAGACATTTTTCAGAATTTTCTAATTATATTCTTGTGAATAAGATTAGAAACATGGTCGTAGAGATACCATAGGAAGATGAATTCCAGTGGATTCAATTACAGTCCCCAGTGGAACCAACCTCCATTATTGTCAACCTGGAGGGAGGGTTTTCATGGTGAGCTGGAAGTCTCTCCTAAATACTTGGTCTGCTCAAATTTTATACATTAATAATTTACATGATGATATGGAAAATATGCTTATAAAATATTTTTAAATGTCCCATAGTTAGGACTCCTAATGGAGTTATTTATCCAACAAATATAGCACATGTGAGTATGTACCATAGGACAGCACATTGCTAAATGCCAATGCAAAAGATTTTAATAAGACATTGAGAATCTCATAACAGTAAGAGTTCAAAATACTTCATCTGGCCAGAAATATAAGCTAGGTTGTCTTCTAATACAGTGATTGGAACATAGTATAGAGCCAAATTAATATTTTTAAATTGATGAATTAATCAATGAATCTTAACCTGAGATTAAAATCAACATTCAGTCAAAGCTGAGGCTAAAGTTGAACATCACTGTCAGAGAATAAACTGCTTGCATAAAAGATTAAATATTAAATATTATCCAAAAGTCATGATTATTCCAATTTTATATTTAAAATGTAATAAATTTTAGAAGTTTGTCATTATAGTTCAGGAACAATGATTCTTTTACACTGTCAACTGTAAGATTGCTCCTGTGATCAATACACCACACAGTTATGATACTAAATAAATGCTCACTTTCAATGGTGGTCACTGGAAGAACAAGGAAAAATGAGGGTAACATCCTTTTCTGACAGTTTCTTTCCATACTCTACATTTATGATTTGACTGATGATTTATCATGGATATTGTATATGATTCTGGACAGTTTTCCCCTCATGTAATTTTTATGTGGCAGAATTGATATTCTACTTTTAATTCATCTCCACATGATGTAAAAACTTCTCCTCATAACACATTACTTCATAATTTCTGACTTAAATAACTAAAAAATTAGAAAACTTTAATGGACAGTTTAGTTTAATGTTATAAATGCTAGTATAAAAAATAATTATATTAAAAATAATTGTGATATAATTTAATCCGTTATTCTTTATATATTTATTTATGTTTTACAAGTTTCTGTTAGCTCAGAAAGGTTATTATATCCTTCCTAAACTTACCTAGCTAATACACACTCTGTTGATATGTTTCTTGGCTTGTCAATATCTTTTCATATTTATTAAATTATTTGATAGTGCTTAATTGCTTTTGCATATACAATTAACTGCTTCCACAATCCTTATTAATTATTATAACATTTTCCACTTCTGTTATCAAAAGATATTCATCATTTGACTGATAGAATTCCAACATATTAAAGACTTTCAAGGAAATTTTCATTCCAAGTCATATCTAAAATGTTTGTATTCGAAAGTAAACATGCAGAAAGTAATAAATTCATTGGTGTGCCTTGTTTGTATCATTCACTCTGTTGACTAGCTATGGTGGTAACCCATGTAATGACAATATATTGATCATACACAATTTCAGGGATATCATACAGTATGTTGAAGCAGGCAGTTGGTGATTTGGCCCTCCACAGGCTGAAGCCAAAGCTAAATAGATAATTTTGATTGAATACCAAGGCTGATGCCAACTTCACTTATCTCAAAATGCTATTTTTAAAGATTCCCTCTTTGAATATCTATTACACAATATATGAAGGGTGAAAGAACAAAAGGACACGCTTTCAGGAGCTGTAAATTCCTTTCGAGGTAAGGTGGAAATGG